AAGTCAACAGCAGTTGTAAAGGAGCATACTTCATTCAAGGCAGACAGACAGATTCCCCCATATTAAAACTCAACGACACACCCAGTCAACATTTCCCAGAAACCATTCAAGATTCTAGGTCCTCCCTTAAAACCATTTCTCAGCCAGGCATGGTGGCACACGCCTTCAATCCCAACACTTGCAATGAAGAGAGCAGTCAGATCTCTGAGCTCTAGGCCAGCCTGGTCTATACACTAAGTTTCAGGACAGCCAGAAATATGCAGAGATCCTGTCTCAATACACCATCTCTCACCTTAGTTCATCCGTCTAATAAGCCTGTTTATCTGGTCCTCCCTGTTGCCAGCATCTCCACCTTCCACAAAATGAGTTGTCTTTTTCTTCATTCCGCCTCGTGGAGAAGATAATTTGAAAGGCCACAGGAAGTTATTCGCTTCCTTGAAGCGTTTTCCAACTGTATAGATCTCGTGAATCAGATCCTCCATGCAGATGATGCCGTACTTACCTGAAAAAAAAACAAAAAAAATTGAGTCTAAGATCACCAAATGTTAAAAAGCACTCAACAAATATCATTATAGGCAGAATTAAATGATCAATCATATAAAGAAGGACAAGCCAGGCACGATGGGACACACCTTTAATCCTATCAGTTGGGAGGCAGAGGCAAGCAAATGAGTTCCAGGCCAGCCAGAGACACAGGGAGACGGAGACCTTGTCTCAAAAGTAAAGATGTGAAGCCTCCTTCCATTTAGTTTTCTTAAAACCATGAAGGATTTGGGGGATCATGCAAAGATTAGTCAGAGGCCAGGCATGGGAAATGCTCAGGAGATAAAAGAGCTTGCTGCACAATAGTGACTGGAGTTCACAATGAAGCACCCCCCAAAACAAGAGGGTCCCAGCGGCCTGCCTGTACATGCAGAGACAGGGGATTGTCTAGGTCAGAATGCAACTCTAGTCTCAGTAAGACCCAGCCCCATCATGTGACATCAACTCTAGGCCTCCACCCACATGTATACAAATAAAAGTAAAAATACAAGTGTGGCCAGAAAATATGGCCTTGGTCTAGCATCAACCCCTACCCCCAAAAGCACAACCTACCAAGAGATCGAGCAATCAAGGAGTTATCTGTCAAGGCAATTCTCTTCTTATGGATTTTGCCATAGCCGCGTTTGTAGATGAGCTCATTCACTGACTTCAGGTTGGGATACCTGAAATAGGAAAATCAGGAAGTGATCAGTAAGGATACAGCCACCGAAGTATCTAAATTCACCTAGTCATATAACTAACCTACTCAACAGAAAACTCACCCCCAGGCAATGTAGGGTTCCACAATCCTCAGCATGTTGATTGAAGCCTTGTTGAGCTTAACAAAGGTCCCATTGAAGATCTGACGAAGACGGAGAAGCTGCAATACCTTGCGGACCTTTGGGCTTACACCATTGATACTGTCACAGAAAGAGACCAAAAATGTTCACCCAGCTTTTACCATATTTCAAATAAGAACAGGAAACTAAACCACAACAGACTGTACGCAAGTCCCAATAAACAGACTTACCAACTTGCCTCCTCTAGCTTTGAATTCCTATCTTTGTTTTTTTTAAAACATTTATTTATTTATTATGTATACAGAAGAGGGCACCAGATCTCATTACAGATGGTTGTGAGCCACCATGTGGGTGCTGGGAATTGAACCTGGGTCCTCTGGAAGAGCAGCTGGTACTCTTAACCTCTGAGCCATCTCTCCAGCCCTGAATTCCTTTCTCTGTCACACAACAACCTGTGCTGCAGTACTACAGTGTGTCAACTCAGACCCCGCGGGACACCCACTCCTACCGTGCCATCACAGTGGACAGCGTAGGTACAGGTCTTACCAACAAACCCTCAACAAATCCCTGGTCCCCCTTCCAGCTACATCCACAACACTGTCTGTCGACGCCTCCGCACCAGTGCTCCCAGAACGTGATTCCAAGTGCACTCACCCTCGGATTCTGATGACAAACGCCAACTTGGGTTCTGCAGGCACGTAGAAGTTCCCGGCTTTCCTTGCCATCCTAGCCATCCGAATCTCGGTGCGGTACATCTGCCTGTACTCCTTGTGATAGTGCTTTGCCTTCTCATAGATGAGCTTCCTCCTGGCCTTCCGCAGCTGAAAGCCAATCAACGTTTATTCACAATTTAGCTCCCAAGCACAAAGAGCTAGAACACTGTCTCGACACAGTGTGCACTGGACTTCTTCTTTTTTTTTTCTTCAGGGTTTCTCTGTGTAGCTTTGCGCCTTTCCTGGAACTCACTTGGTAGCCCAGGCTGGCCTCGAACTCACAGAGATCCGCCTGCCTCTGCCTCCCGAGTGCTGGGATTAAAGGCATGTGCCACCACCGCCCGGCGCACTGGACTTCTTAAAAGACAGATATTCCAGAACGACCCACCGGCCACATGACCACAATAAAGCCCCTTAGCGATCGTTTGTTACGACAAGGAGGCAGATAAACCTTACTAACATCTCATTCTCCATTCTCAGTCACCACCAGGGGCCCAAAGTTTACTTACTGTCTTCAGGGCAAACTTCTTCCGAAGGCGCTTCACCTTCAACTCTGCGAAGTTCCTTCGCTTCTTCTTGAGGGTTTCCGGCACAGCAGGAACCTTCTTCTTCTTCTCCCTGTCATTAGCAAACCACATCATTAGTAAGTCCAAACCCTCCTGGTGCTGTACTAAACTCGCCAGGTCCTCGGCACTGCCATGGCGTTAGGACAGCCACTCACTCTAACACTGGCGTCTCCGCCGCTGTCCTACACGTCCTGCGTTAACACACGCCTTACTTAAGGCGGGCACAGGGCGTTAGGACGTATGCCCACCCCGGCCATCAGTCCTGGCCTCCGACACCGGACAGCCACAAAAAGTCGGCCAACCACACTGCAGAAATCGCTCCCCACGCTTTCAGGGCAAGGGCTCCAGGGCTCCAGAAAGCTTCCCTGGTTCAAGGCTCCAGTTCCACATGGGGAAGGTGTCGGCCTTAGGCAGACGCCTAAGTCAGCTTTGGCCACAGAGGCACCTAACTCCGGGTCCCTGGAAATGCTGCGCACCGGGAAACGACCTCCGCCCCAGGGCCGGGCTCCGCACGCGTTCTGCCCGGTTCGCTCCTGGGGCTCCCGAGGCCTCGGCCCCCCACTACCCCGTCCTGCTGTCCCGCAGCGTCACAAACACCCGGACAAGTAGGCAGCGGTGCGGGCGACAGTCAGAGGCTGGAGGAGGGGGACGGAAGGGCCCCGCTGTCGGGGATGGAGGGGGATTCGGGAGACGCGCAGAATCTACTTACGGTACAGCCTCCATGGTTCCAGTCGGAAAAAAGAGAGGAAGCCGGCGCATGCGCGCTGTCCCCTTAAAGGACCGCGAGCGCGAAGCCCCAGGACTTATAGCTGTCCTAGGATAAGCCAGAAAAGAATCTAGAATTGGGAGCGCACTTTGCAGGCGCAACATTAACAACAGTCTGACTTAGCCACTGCCAATTAACTTCAGGGTAAACATCACGGGGAAACAAAAGCACTGAAAACATTTTTTTCTTCTTTTTTTAATGAGCACGACGCTGACACCTTGTCAGCTCGGGGCGTAACTCTCCCAGGTTGCGTTGACCACATTAAGCTCAGGCTCCGCGGACTCGTCGGACCCAAGAGCCACGTTCGTGGATGTGAACTACAAGTCCCAGCATGCATCACTCCCCAGCCCCCCGGGCTGGAGGGCGATGTTGACCCGGCCTCTGGGCAGCCTTGGCGGCGCTGATTCCCGTTAGGCTCTCTGGAGTCGAGGGGGTCCCCGTCCCCAGAGGCTCGCTGGGCTACGAAGTCACCGCTGGCCACCTCCGCGGGCTCCCTGCCGCCCGTGGCCGCGCAGCCCGGCAGCCCCCACCTCGGCCGGCCGCCCTGCCGAGGTCCTCGTTCCGCCCGCCAGTGGGGCTGTCCTCCGCAGCGCCTGACCGCAGGCCGCGGAGTCCACAGTCCCCCGGCGGGCGGAAAGTGGCGAGAGCGGCGAGAGCGATGACCGGACGGTCCGAGGAGGATGGGGGCTGCGCTGGCGACCGCGGGACCCGGCAGGAGCCGGCCGCGGCGACCCACGGCAGGGGGCGTGAGCCGCCAGGAGAGAGAGACGCGACGAGGGCGGGGAGGCTTCGGCCACGGTCGTGGGAGAGGGGCTCGTCCGGCTCGGTGTGGGGCGGCCAGCGGGCGGAGGGCGGGAGGCGGGGGAGCGGGGCCAGGGGGCGGGGTGCGCCCGGGGACTGGGAGGGCCGAGCGGAGGGAGGGCCGATGCCACTGCAGCGGCCGGCGCGTCCCGGTGGTGGGTTATATAGCGCCGTGTGTGCAGCGCTCTCAGAGCCGGCTGGGAGCGCTCCGACTCGCGGGCGTAGCTGCGCTGCGGAGCCCGGTGCCCGAGTGACAGCGGCGCGAGTGCAGGGCAGGGGCCCCGAGCCGCGCTGGCAGCTCGAGCGGTTGGCAGCCCCTCGCGTGCGCCGCCCCACGAGTCGCCCCTTTCCCGGCGCTGCCCGCCCCGCAGCACCCTCCCGCAACTTGAGTCAAGTTGACAACTCCCGCGACCCGAGCCACCCGCACGGCGCACCGCTGCCGTCCTCGGAGCAGAGGGAGCCGCTGCAGCGGCGCAGGGGACGATCGGGCGGCGGCGGCTTGGCCATGAGGGCAGCGCGCGTCGCCTAACTCGTGGCTGTCACCGCCGCTGCTGCAGCGGGACCGGACGGCCGGGCGGTACGGGGCAAGCAAGCGGCCGCCAGCAGGAGGCGCCGAGCCGGGCGGCAGGCACAGCCCGTGGCCACCGCCGAGCCCGGGCGGGACTGGCCCCGCGCGCACTTCAGCCCCGCGGCAGTTCGGGGGCGGACTCGGGGTGCAGCCTTCGCGTCCCGATCGCGGTGACAAGCGCTCCCGGGGCCAGGGGCTGGGTTGTCTGGCTGGGGGAGAGTGAGGAGGAGGTCACGGCGCTGGGCTCGTGCGGGACCCGGGGCGTCGCGATGAACATCGTGGTGGAGTTCTTCGTGGTCACTTTCAAAGTGCTGTGGGCGTTCGTGCTGGCCGCGGCGCGCTGGCTCGTGCGGCCCAAGGAGAAGAGCGTGGCCGGCCAGGTGTGCCTCATCACCGGCGCGGGCAGCGGCCTGGGCCGCCTCTTTGCTCTGGAGTTTGCCCGGCGCCGGGCGCTGCTGGTTCTCTGGGACATCAACACGCAGAGCAACGAGGAGACCGCGGGCATGGTTCGTCACATCTACCGGGACCTGGAGGCGGCCGACGCCGCGGCTCTGCAAGGTAAAGTGCCCGTGCATTGTTGGGTCAAACCTCCCCGCACCCGGGAGGGTCTCCACACACCCCTGTCATGGGCAGCCCGGCTCTCCAGGAAAAGAACACCCCGCTGGTCTTCGGGAAGGCGAGTGGAATTTGCCCCCTTGATGAGAGAGCACGGTTTTCCGTGTTATCGGACTGGAAGTGCGTTAACCCCAGTCCTGTAGGAGAGCCTGTTTCTTAGGCACCACGCTGGGGGTTCCTAAACTCTGCTAGTAGTGGAAGGCAGTGGGGACCTTGCTACCACCACGGGTTCAGATCCGAAGGCAATCTCTCAGTCTGACTTGCATGTGGCATGATGGGAAGCTAAAATGTCTTTGGGAAGTTGTTCCCACGATGGACTGAAGCAGTTATCTGTTTCTGTGAGGTCTGAGCAGCTTAGGCTGGAGCTCTTCGGATGGTTTCACTATAACTTTAACTCTGGGAAATTATTACATTGTTTCCCCATCCTTAAGTAAATGCTTTAGTTACCAACCTTAACTGAGAGCGAGTCCCTTCCTCCTGAGAAAGGGCTTCTGTGATTTCTGATCTTTTGTCAACTTCTCTCGTGGTTTTGGGGTACCCCAATCTGCATCTAATGTGCTTAACGACGAGTTAGCATCTGAAAAAAAAAAAAATGTAAGCCTAAGTGGAGATCATGATCAGTTCTAGATACCGGTCTAGGAAATTTGATGGCGACTGGATTGCCTTGGGCTCTACTGTCCGGCATGCCTGTCATTTGATACCAAACTTACCAGAACCTGTGTTTTTATGTGAGGTTCAAAATGTTATGTTTTCAAAGCTTGCGTGAAGAGACAACAAGTTTGAGCATTTGTGCTCCCTGCCCAAACCTAGGAGAAAGCAATATTCATTTTTAGGAAAGGGATTTTGATTTTTATATTGTTTGAACTCCAATGTGGTAAACTTGCATATTAACTTCTAAACTCCACCTGTGAGATTAATTCTTAGGGGAATCAGTTTCCAGACAAACCAGTGACCTCTATTCTTTCATTAGAAACTTCCCATTCATTTCTTGGCTTTGAGTGAGCTCAGATTGTTGCTTATAGTTTGGATTTGTGAGCCTTGGAGTGACTTTCAGTTTTGAGGGCAGAGCTCTCTAGCCACTGGCTTCCTCCCCACCCCCATCTGAAAACAGGAATGTGTAATGTGTGTTATTCTCTGGGCTGAGATCAGTTCTTTGCAGGTGTCTAGCTCCAGCAAGTTGATCCCATGTGGTCTACTTGTATTGGACTTGCCACAATTACATGACTTTCCCCTAAGCAAGGTTGTCCAGTAAATTGCTGTAATTCCCAAAGACTTCCAGGGGAGGAAGGCAGCTGTAGGCTGAGTTATTGGCAAGCGTTACAGTGTTAGAAATTTGAAGCTCACTGTAGTGTTTTGGCTTTGTATGGTTTTTGTCCTACTGCTTGCCATGTGGCTCACTTTCTGTACCCCTTCTCTCTTCCATTCTCCCCTAATCTGGACTTCGGCGGCGGACAGCTGGCAATGGTGAGGAGGAAATCCTGCCCCCATGTAACTTGCAGGTTTTTACCTACACTTGTGACGTGGGAAAAAGGGAGAATGTCTACCTGACAGCCGAAAGGGTCCGTAAGGAGGTCGGTGAGGTCTCGGTCTTGGTCAATAATGCCGGTGTGGTTTCTGGACATCACCTTCTGGAATGTCCGGATGAGCTCATTGAGAGAACCATGATGGTCAACTGCCACGCACACTTCTGGGTAAATATCAATGTCTTTGTTTTTATCCCTGGGTCCTCAGTGAGAAGGCGGGGAAAGAGTCGGGTGCCGCCGTGAAAGCCACTGCACCCTCCACCTCTCACGGGTGTCTGTGGTTAGTGGAAACTGCTCCCCTTCGGTATTCCTCAAGAAGGTAGAAGAACTTGACTGGTGAACTAGTTTGAAAGATTGCTGTAAAAATAACAAGAGGGAGGATAAGCCCTGGCTTTGTTTATTTAGCTTCTGTTGAGTTTATAAAACCCTGGTTCTTATGAATTCGTAAAGTCGGGCTAGGCTTCCAAACTACTGCTCAGCCACATTTTAGAAAGTTCCAGAAATTCTGAGATCAGCATCTGTGGTTCACTGGGAGTGGCCAGGCCATCCTAGCAGCTACTTAACATCCACTGGCCATGGACATTGTTCAGATGGTGGACATCTCACGACCGTGTCCGCTTCTCCGGTGCCTCAAGATGAGGAGTCACCTTGAAAGGACCACGGAGAGGGGAAGGGGATTTATGAGGCGTGGTGAGCCAGGGATTCAAACAATCCTGCAGCATCCAGAGAGAGCGAGCGGTCTTCTGTTCCCAACTTGTTAGCTGAATTGTCAATACAGGTAGAGGCGACACTTTCTCCTCTAATTCTGTGCATGCTGTGTTGATCCGTTTTATAGTTTTTTCTTTGTATTTTCCTTATGTAGACAGAAATGATCCAGTGAAGAGAGGTGAGGAAAATTCGAGGGAGCTCAGTGGTAGAATGCTGACGGAGCTTGTGCAGGGCTGTGGGTTATACCCTGCACTAAGGGAGAAGGAGGAAAGGGTAAGGAGGTAGGATTCTACCCCCCTTACCCCCCAGGCAGAGATGTCTTCTGATAGAACTCAACAAAGAGTCGGTTCTCCTAAATAGGTCACATTAAACCTCGTTAATTTTTTAGCAACTGCTTACAAACTTAATCTGGCTTCCGAAGTGTTCAGGTATTGCTTGTCCAGTATCAAGGCTCTTTTCTGGTCCTGGATGAAGCTTATCCTAAGGTTTTATTTGGAAACGTGAGCTTTATATAATTTATTTCCAAGCTTCTAGAAATGAAGATATGAATAAGCTGAGCTCACTCGTTGCGGCATTTTAAATGAGTGAGGAGATCACCGTGTCGTGTTTGGGGGATTGAGCACACACATGTACATGTACATAGGTGTGCAAAACAGTGGGCGTGCAAAACAGACAAGACTTTGCTGCTGCAAGAGCAGGCATCAAGTGTCCCAGCACTGACATGGGTGAGTATAGGCCAACTGAGTGGACTTGGCAGGTTAATTTGTCAAGAATCCTGTGTGTTTATAATTCTGAGTGAAAAAAACTCCCCAGGCCAGGCATAGCAGCACACACCTTTAACCTCAGCACCCGGGAGACAGAGGTAGATGGATCTCTATGAGTTCAAGGTTAGCCTGGTCTAATAACATAGTGAGTTTCAGGCCATCCAGGGCTACATAGCAAGACCCTGACTCCAAAACAAACAAACTAAAATAGGGTCAGCATTTGATTAGAAAACAAATTGCCGGAAGAGTATAGTGTCCATATTTGAAACCTCTACGGTTGAACTGCCACAGAGATTCCAGTTGATTTCAGTTACCTTGTCCGCCTTGAAAACATGCACATCCATTGGAAGATTAATATTAACCAGACACTGATTTTTCCCCTCAATAACCTTTGAGGTGATGCAAGATTTCCTAACTATAAACTTTAACCTTCACCAAGCTCCCTCAAGTTTCACCTTCTTGACTATTCTCTTCATAATCATTTTGCTAACTTACAAAATTGTAAATATATCCAGGTTTTTAAAGAAACTGCACAGCCTTCAGTGAAGTATGTACCACAGAACAGCAGCATACCTTCTTCAGATGTGAGATAAGTGTTGATTTCATGTTAAGAAAGACAGTCCGTGGCCTCCTGTGAAAGGGTGCAGACCGATCTAGTGCAGCCTCTGGCCTCTCTCTAACCTAAGGAAGAAATCACACCACCTCTTCCCCTAGACCCAAATTCATGTGCCAGGGGTGAGCACCACCTTCCTACCCTCCTCGCTGAGCTTTGGGAAGTTGCTTAACCACACAGTTTAGGGAGTTCTTGGAAGCCTGGTTGGTAATGACATCACTTTGTATTAAACTCTGGGAGGCTCCTGAATTCTCCAGCTGTTTTTCCTCTAAGCATCTAAACTGAAGAATTTATTTTCAATATTGAGTCAGAAAATTCATTTTAGTGTTGGAATTTCTGACTTCTTGCCAAGACTTCACAAACCTTTGGAGAAGCTGAGAGTTAGCAACTGAAACATAAAAGAAGGCTGCTGTTAACCTTTCCGGTGCTTGCTGTGGGGTTGAAATAGTATTGCTGAGCGCCACCGCATCTCAGCTTCCCCTCTGGTTTTCTTAGTCGAAAACGTTAGTGGTGGCTTTTCCAAGCTGTATTGCCTTGGCTTCTACCATTCTTGTTCCAGAAGAAAATAACCAGTGTGTCTTTTGACTATGCCTGGGCAGGGAAAAGAAGTTGCCCCATCCGGTTAAAATTGTAGATCCGCTGAGCGAAGAGTACATTCATCTGTTTGGACAGATCATCTCGAGCCAGACTCTTAAGTAGCCGTCAGTGTCTGTTTTCATAGACTAACAAGTGTGTTGACCCTGACTCAGAGTTCAGGTCTTGTTCGTGTGCCCTGCAAGCTCCAGCCACTGCTCTTACTGGCCAGCGCTCCCCCGTCCTGCACGCCTCCTCCTCCTAAGGTCTATTTCAGGATGGTGGTGTGCGCTTCCCTCCCACCCCCGCCGTCACCGGTACCTGGGATTTGGAGCTGTAAGGAGCGGTAGCATTGCCTCTTCAGCACCCTGTGTTCTGGGCCCTGCACAAGCTGAATGAGTGCTTTACCCCGAGCTACACCCCCCAGCCTCATCCTTTTTTTTCCAGTGAAGCTGCAGTTAAATGAATTATGTAAAACTTTTTTGTTGTTTTTATTTCCTTTCTGCTAACTTTTTGTGGCATACATTGTCATTTTGTCCTTTGGTGCATAGTAAGTGCTTTTTGAAATAACTTTGTCTACATTGTGCTGTACATAACAAAGTTGATGACAGATTGTCTGATGGCAGTTTGTTATACCTGACCCCCCCACACCCACACCTGGAACTGTATTCTAACTTAGTTAATAAATATTTGATCATATGTGGCGGGCTTCTGCTTAAATATTTAGAGGGTAACCTATTCAGAGAGCCCTCACATGGGCCCACGCCGTGGGTTCTGAAAGGGGAAACATCATTCTGGACCAACTCAAGCTATCGACTTCAAATCAGAGCTGCCTTCCATTCATTGTCTGTATCTCCTTTTGTTTCCTACCCTCATTTTTCATTCCCCTGCCCCACCTCTGCACTCTTTTTTCCTTAGTGTGCTAAGCCTAGTCCTGGTGGGTGTAAGGCTCAGGCTTTTAAGAAGACAGCTGTTCGTGTCCCAGTGTGAATCAAACACACGTTGAATCCACGGCCATCATTCATTGTCCTGTGACTCAGGCCTCAGGAAGAGAGCCCGCATTGCTGTCGCTTCCTGCCCGCTGAGCCGCGCACACTCCCGAGGCTCACACTCCTGCAAGCAGGAAGGCTTTTCCATTAGCTCTCACGTTTGGCACAGGCCTCCGTCAGCCATGACACCAGCCTTCAGAGTGGCTCTGTCCCTAGCAGATCTTCCAGGGGCCTTCTCGTGGTCTCCAGGCAGGAAATGAATGAGGTGGGGGTAGGCTTTAGTCAGCCTTGTCTGCTTGCAATAAGACCACCGAGAACAAGTGCATGCTGGCATCGAAGTCCTCCACACAAATGCTGTCTCAGTGAGAGCAAGAACTTGAAAACACGCTCCATTCCACCAAGTGACGTGCTAGCCTGGCCTCCCCACACAGTGACTGCAGTCTCACATTTCCCCCCAAATAATGAACTCAGCTTCACTTACTGTTTTTTTCTGGAGAGGAGTAGAGTCTTAGTTTGTTTCTGAGCCAGAGTTTATCTGTAGGTCCTTTTTAACCAAGGAGCTCTGTTTGGCCTTTATCAAAATGGCAAACTGATCTCCTGATTACCCAAAAGAGGAAAGCAGAGGTATTCAACCCCAGGCCTTTTCTGTGCACAAGAAATTCTCCATGGTAAAGGACTAAATCTGTCAGATCGCTAGTCAGTAATTTACTTCTATTGATATGGTAGTCAGACAGGATAATTGGTAGTTAATTAATAGACCACTTAACTTAAAAGGTTTCACAGGTTTAAAATACTAATTACTGAATTCAGCATTTATCTATATCCAAACGTCTAGAGTGTATTTAGTTAAAATCCATCCAAGAAAAGTAAAAGCCCACCAGCTAGATCAGAGTAAGGCGGCACTTAGCGACATTAGTGTGCTACCGCTGTACCTAATGTCTCCAGCATGGTCTCTGGTAATTAATGCTGGAGTTCTTACGGGATTTACTGCCTTTTAATCTTCTATGCTGTATCCCTGTATTCCCTGACTGGAGAAATCTAGTTTGGCTTAAGCTCTCTTAGGCTTAGAATTTAAAAGTTGTTGTTGTTTTCTAAAGTACTCATAAAATTATTTGTCTAATGCTTTCTCCTTTATACTATAATACTATAAAACTAAATTTTTTATAGAATATCACTTTCCTGTTGTAGAGTAACTGCTGAAAATGTGGAGTTTGTAACCTACTAATAAGTATGCCAGAACTGACTTCTGTTACCCAGTTCGTGTCCTGTTCGTAACTGTGAGAGCACAAGAAATCAAGACAGTGTCTGAGCTGAGGTCCAAGTTGGCATACCTTGTCAGGTCCTTGGGGTAGTTGGAAATTGACGTAACATCTCTTTAGATGGGCAACTGCCTGGAGGCATGTTGCGACTGTACTTTGTACACAGAAAGAGATCACATTTGTGTTGAATTTTGAATTTCTATGTTTGATGTATGCTGGGCCCAAATCTGTTGCTCCTAAAAGTTAGATTTTACAACATGAT